ACACTATATATTATACCATTGACTTAAGTGATATGGTTATTTCCTTCACCATTATCGTTTTTCACCATTTATGGCGATTTACCACACATACACATGAACACCTCCCTCTTCACACACACACACACACACGGAATCTAACCATGAATCTATATTCAGTATTCACTCTCTCTTGTTCAACAATTGATTTCGAATTCAGTCGAGAGGAAAATGTAATGTTGTACAATGGTGAACACGCAAATATAATTTCTTAAATTGATTTCTTCTTCTTAACATTGCCCATTGTGTGTGTGTGCACTTCGTGTAAGTCGATTGTGTATTGTTTTCAATTCTGCACTATGTTATCAGGCCAAACACATAACCGGATTCTTAAGCGAAATAAAATTTCCTTCATGTTTCAATGATTGCGTCTCTCTCTCTCTCTTTGTGCAGTGGTTTGCACCTTGAGCAAAATCCAATTTCACCTTATTGCTTTCAAGTGATGTACCGATTTGATAATTTCACACCACACACAATACTGAGGTGGATGTTTTGCTTCCGATTTCCGCATTTTGAAAATGCGAAAATTGAATAACTCCATCAAATAAATGCAGTTTGAAATTGAAATAATTTGCCCGAAGTGCTTTTGCCCGCATTAATAAATAATGTATTGGGTGGTGGCGATGATGGTATTGGGGACCGGTCAGATCGTCGAATGAGTATTTACAATTCGATTCAATTGTTTACGAAAGCGTCGAAAAAAAAAAGAATATTTTATTGTTCGCTTAGAAGAACACGATACACCGATACAAATCGGTGTGCTATTGATATTGATCAAATTGCACCATTTCTCGTTCCCCAAAGTGCATTTCAATTTGTGTAAAATCGCTAAGCAATTTAATGAAATGAGACCTTCTAATTACGTAATTTATGCGCATACCATTGTGCCATTCATACACATTCAAAAAACGACATACAAATTATTATTAAGCTCATCTGAAACTGACATCGGACAAACGACTCAATATAATCCATCGTTAATGTACTGCTCTTTCAAATAATCCATTGCAATACATTATTCGCAATAAAATATGTTTTCAATCCAATTTGTCAAATTAACACGTTTGTATTTATGGCAAAACTTTTTTGGCTTGGAATTGAATTTGATTATATGCCAGTCTTCATTAAATGTGATTTATATATATTTTTGGTATTGATTTGTATCGCAACGAACAATAAAATGAAATATATTAGTGCCGATGGCATTTCCTCTCCATTAATTTGATACGTTTGAATTTTATATCAATAAATTACAATATGTTGAAGTGTAAAAAAAACTTGATTGATTTGCAGATATTTTGATAGCAGCAAATAGTATATATTATGACTATCTTCATTTGAAACATGTATATTTATTATTTATTTTCACCAGATCATGAAATCGCATTTTGGTAAGTTGTACGCTGTCGCTTTTCAATTCGTAAAAATTCTTCTGGACATAAGTATGATTTTATTATGGATGACTAGTTAAGACCGTTTAATGCACATCGCATGTAAACGTCTTTTTTCTTTTCTTTTCTTTTTAATTCTATATTTATAAAAAATCGAAAGTTTGATTGTTTGTGTATGTTTCGAGCTGGCAGCTCATCCAATTTGAATAAGTACTTTTTGAAAAGTCTTGGTCCGGAAATGGTTTTAGGCATCATCATGGTCGGCAATCATAGTTTACTACGGATTTTTACCATTCTAACCCTTTTTGAGACCGTCATGATACATCATGGTTTAAGACGATAACCGTGGTAAACCGTACTAATCAAAAATAAATCGAAGTAATCCACGCATACTCAGGATTTCAAGACACGACCGGGAACTCGCCATTTTTTAAAGAAACGTTTTCATGCTCTGTTTTTGCGAAATAATTTATCCACACTAAAACAATACTATAATTAGAAAATCCGTCAATAATGTATTTTTATAGAAAATTTGGTTGGTCGAGCAGTTGAAACCCAATTTCCCGAATTACATTTTTATCAACTGTAAATAGATGTTGAATTGTATTTTTATGCTTTGAAATCCAAAAATAATGCTTTCAACTGGCAAAAAGTCATTTGTATCCAAATCTATTTCATTAATATTGTTACAAAGTGCTTACACCATGGACATATGTCAAATGAAAATAGAAATCCGTATGAAACTTGAAAATGTGAAATTAAATCGGTTTCAATAGTAATTTAAAATTGAAACAGTGTGACACATTGCATAAATAAATGAGTACATTTCGAACAAAAGATTTGATTAATTTGTGAATTACTTCAATTATCAGACATAAATTGAATTTCATTTGAATGAAAATCAAATGAAACATGAGATTTAATTATTTATCAATATTCAAACGATGGAAATCATTTATAAAGCATCATACCATTAGGGCGTACCTGATAACATTGTAAGAGATTAACTTTGTGTAAACAAAATATCATCCTGAACAAAATCATTTTGAAAATAAAAAAAAAATACGAAAACAAATTTGCCACTTTGTTAGTGGTACAATCAAATCAAATAGCAAATAACGATGAGAAAAAAGAATCAAGAAAAAAATAGCATGAAAAACAAAAAAAAAACGAGACATGAATATTTAAGTATGAACATAGATAGGTATTTTTTTCCACTTGAAAAAAATGGATGCTTTGAAATCTGAAGAGTGCAATGGCTTATTTCTCTTCATAACTACCGTTTGGTTGGTTGAACTTATGAAAGCGATTTTTTAAATCACCTTTTCATTGAGAGTTTAATGGATTTTACATGGGAATTGCATAAGCCACTGTAAAATCCAACCACTTAAATTCCTTTGTTAAAGAACCTATTCAGAGAAAATCCTCAAAACGATAGAGAAACAATAAAGTAACCTGTTTTAAGGCCATTTTCTACACTGCAAAACAGCCTTTGAACTGATGTAAAATTGACTACATCGCCTAATGGATTTCAATAGCTGAAATTTTACCAGGAAACGACTTACGTTCTCTTAATGTATGAATTTTCTGTTGAATGAAAATTGATAAGAAATTTATTGGTTTTTCGATCATTTTGGAGCTACACAAATATTATAAAAAAGCATATAGTATAGCTTTGAATAAAAAGCATGCTGTCAAGCGTGGAAAATAATCCCATTTTAATACGGTATATCATGAGAGAGCAGAATAACAACGTGCCATCGACAATAAAACCACACGAGTGATTATTTAAAATAACATTTTATGAGGACATGGATCTCTGCACATTTTTTTTTACTACATTTTATGTATGGATGGATGTGTGTCTGGAATATGAAAACAATCAAACAAGTCATGCACATGAATTATGGATGATTTATGATTTATCATCGACTTCATTCATTTCATACATTTAAATAAATATTTCGTATTCCGAATCTTTCGAAAAATGTCTAGACATTCTCATTACATGAAGGGGAGATGAACAATTTTTGGCCGTACAAGTGGTATTTGTTTTTATTTAGTTTCTCTGTTTGTTTATTCAGAAATATTTTTCGTAATGAAAGAACTTTTAGGGAAATTGGAAATGACTTCAGGCATTTTCAAACAGCTCAAATGTTTTTTGGGGTGAACAAACATTTCAGTATGATGTCTGAATTTTTCACGATGAAAAATGAAAAAATATTTGAACTGCACTAAGAGTATATATATTTTTATTAGACAAATAATTGAGTTCATAAATCAATCATGCAATTCCTATTCATGGCTTATATTTTTCAGTGCAATTTTAGTGTGCAACACAACAATTGTGTGTGTATAAAAAAAAACCATTGCGGCACCACGAAATTACGATATTTGAAAAAGTATCCAAGAGCACTTTCTGCCATTTTGTCAGCCCATCAAGTGCTCATTCGAAGGTAAGAAAAGTACAACCAAATATATTTGATGCCTGTTATTTAATGAAATCGACACATGACACACAAGCCAAGAACTTATCAATGATTAATGAGACTTATCAAATGCAGCGTACACGAGACATGTTTGATTATTCGTGGTCTATCAATTGCGTGATAAGCGATCCATTTATCATCACTTGAGTTAAGATAGTATAAGGTATAGACAATTTATAGCTATGGATATAGATGCGTGTAAAGATGTTCAAATATAAACATCCAAACAACCTTGAAGGAATATACCAAATTCGTTGTTTTCGGGTGTCTGGGAATAAGGAATGTTTTTTAAAGAAAAGCGCTAGCGCGGCTCATACAGAACAAAAACCAAGGAGTTTACGTTGTATAAATTTCAAATGAACAACAATTTGCTTCAGTCTCAAGTGTGTATATATTTTTTTGATATTATAATTTTAATATGGTATAAATACGCAATTGAGCTGATTATTACATATTAGTGAAGACATAAGTGAATGTAGATTAGATTACACATCAGACTGACTGTGAATTCAATCAAATGAACGTGCACGATTTTACTACGCCATCAGTTTACGTCTAGTTGTATTAATAATTTAGCGACACACAAAATCAAGTGTCAAAATACAAACACTAGATTCTATTGATAAAAATTTTAAAAAAATGTTAATATCATCGTTTGGTGTTGAATTGCCGACTAACATGATTTGCTTGATTTTCTTTATTACGAAGCATATTTGATTTCAATCGAGTTGCGTAAATATTACCGCTCATGCTACAATGTTAGGACTCAGATTGAAACTAATGCAATTCATGATAGTACGTGATAATTGTTGATAACTTTTAAATTGCTGATAAGATTACATTTATATTTTCAGTTCATTTCAATAAAAAAAATCCAATATTATTTAGTTACATAATAATCGTAGACAGTATCTAGACACTGTACTGTGACAATATTGATAGATTTAATTACTCATTTGCCATCGATCATGTGTTTGTCTGTTGTGTCAGGTGAACCTTGTTCAAGTTAAATAATCGAGACATTGATTGATTCAAGCAACATTGCTGCAAATATTTTAGATATAATTGAACGAAACGCTTCTTATTTGAGTATGATATTATATTAACCTTTGATAAGTTTAATGAATTTGTTTTTATTACATTTTTTTCCTTTTATCTTTCGATCTTGAATACACTATCATTGAAACAGTGATTTGTGTGATTTTTATCAACAAATATACCATTAATATGATAGCAGATAATATAAATGCCCAAACATCCAAATTGTACAATTTATAAAATGGCAAATCGACAGCGACACTTCTCAAATGCGGAGCACCTTTGTTCTTGGCCACATGTTTGACCCAATGCATTGCAGTTTCCAATGGTGTACGTGGTTGATCTCTGAATCGGTCGGATATTAATTTTGCATTTTCCGCATAGCTGAAAATTGATCCAAAAATTTCCATTTTAAAATGTTCAGAATTTGAGCGAAAACTTTGATTTTATTCAACAAAGTTTGTTTCAATTTTACCTCTGATTTTTGAGAACTTTGCTAATGGCTGATGCAAGTCGTTCTGCGGACAGATTTTCGAATGGAACACTGACGCCATAGTTTTTTTGTTCGGCCAAGTACATATTCAAATGTTGGTCGAACATGAATGGAATTCCCACCACTGGCTTGCCAAAGTATACGGTTTCTGATGAAATAGAAAACTCTTATTCACACGACGGTTTACTAGGCATCATTTTTCATTTGTTCCTTGTACACAATTTCAAAGTATCTTACCGGTCGTACTGAGTAGTCCGCCGTGTGTTATAAATAATCTAATACGCGGATGTGCCAAAATGGATTGTTGATTAAACCACGTTTCGACTAGAACATCAGATTGACTGTGCGATGGAATCACGACATTTTCATCATTTTTGATCAAAATTCGAACATTTGGATGTGGTTTGAATGCATTTATGATGGCATTGAATTTCTCTTGTGTCAATTTGTGTAAAAGAAGCTGTGAACCAAGTGATACATAAATCGCACCGTTTTTAGCTTCATCTAAAAATGTTTTAATTTTCGGTGTCAATGGTTCGATTTCTTTTTGTATTTGCATGCCTCCGACTTCAATCATATTCGGTGCATATGGACGTGGAGTGCCTAACGTAGTGTGAGTATTCAAAAGAACCAGCGATACATTTCGTCTAATTTCTTCGAGAGACGGCCAATTTTTTGCTTCGGGAAATAGTTTTTCCATAATTTTTTGTTGTTTTGGCGTATATATCAATGGCATTGCAATATCTTCAAACCAAAACGACAAAGAGTTGTACATTCGTTGCCAGAAGTTCATTCGATCGGTGTAGTGATTGCTTGTGAATGGGACGTATGACGGAAAATTTGGCGTTCCAACTAAATCGGTTGTAAATTTTGACGCACCAAATGCGGACAGTCCAATAACTGGAGCATTATAATATTGACCAAGACCAAGTAGCGCATCGTTTAATAAAATTTCCACAATAATAACGTCAAAGTTTTGTTTGATTTTCAGAAAATTTTGAAAATTTTGACTTGAAACTGTCCAGTTGTTCATATCCATTCCACTCGAGTAGCACAACAATGTCCATTCCCAAAAATGCACCGTATTTAATTCAACGAAATTATTTTTTGCCATTGCTACAAATAATGCAAATTAAATTAAAATAAATCAATATTTGAAAATCTTGAGTGAAGATGTTACTTTTTCGTGATATTGCCCAGGAATTTTCAAGAAATACTTCTTTGTAGTTTTTTATGGGAACTTTTTGTTTAAATGGACTAACCACGGTGACATCATGACCTTCTTCAGCCAAACCTTTCATAAGATTGTGCCCGATATAATAATGAGATCTTGATGTCACTGGAAGTACAGCCAAAATCTTGTAACTTATTACATTTTGATACAAAACACACAATATTAAGAAGAATTTAAATAATTTCATTTCGTAAAAAATCAACTGATCGACACTGTGCTCTACAGTAAGCTAAACAATGCAAGTAACTTATTAAGACTGAAGAAGTTTTTATATCAATATCAGCAATCGTTAGCAAACACCAAGGCAAACACACTCATAAGTATCACTAGCTGTGTCGTACTTTCGCTTACTCTCTTCTAATCGATTGCAACGTGTAATGAAATTCAAGTTCACAAACTGTGCCGCATCATAGGCAAGCGCCCACAGTACTGTCGTTATACGTGCCTGCTTGGGATAACGAGCGATAGGCAACCATAGCGGTAGGCAAAAAATTGTGTATAACAGTGTGAAAAAATACAAGTGTGTTATGCGTCACATGTATCGAAATTCCTTACTGTTATACGATCGTTTTGTAAATTTGAATTTCATATCATGTTGCAATGGACTTGTAGAGAATAAGCGATAATACGTCGCAGTTTGTGATACTTATGTGTTTGCTAACGATTGCTGTAATTCTCAGACGATATCCCGAGAAGCAAAATCTGTCTAAATCCTCAATTAGCAACTAGGATTTGATAGGAATCGGTCACATTTCTATAAAAAATTTGTTGCGACTTATACCATGCCAAAATATATATAAATTATAAAGATATGATAATAATTCACGTATTCCATTTTCATAAGATGTTTGTTGATTACAGATCATATATTTTTCACAAATTTGCAATTTACGACAATTGTAAATATTTATTTGAATTAATTATGCCTTTTTACTCTTTTGTCTTATAATTGAATCGAAAACGAATTGAAGAAGCGAGTCAAAAATCATTGACATCAAATACACAGTCATTGTAATGACACCAAAGATGAATGCCCAAACATCCAAATTGTACAATTTATAAAATGGCAAATCGACCGCAACACTTCTCAAATG